GGTCTCATTCTAGCTGACCAACAAAACGAACATACATTACCTACCTTTAGATAACTTAGTAAACTCTCCCAACTTAAGTTATTTAATACGTCAACTCTCCCACCTGACTCTATCACGTGTACTCTTGTGACAAGAACTTAAAGTCATAATAAAATGGTAACAGTAGTAATACATGTGATGTTGAGCTCTAAGGGATCAATCTCAGGTGATCGCTTTTGCATATAGACAGGCCTGAAAAATCGATTGCATAATACGGATATTCGATTAGGCACGTAAGTGTCATTACTTCGTAATACATTTATCACAGAATAAATTAGGTCATGGAAATTCTGCATGCATGATGTAGGGTGAAGCCCATTACAAAGTAATAATCATGTGTTGGGGTCCCTCTGATTGTTACTATAACCAAATTTCTAAATAAAATCACATGGTTGAAAAATTGATTGCGTAACACAGATGTTTGATCAACACATCACATACTATACCACAGAATAAAATCGAAGATCATGGAACTTTTCATCCATGATGCAATCGTACGACCTGTTACTGTGACCAAAATTTCTGAATAAAATCACATGCCTGAAAAATCGATTGCGTAACACAAATGTTCGATCAACCTATATCATAGAATAAATTAGAAGGTCATGGAACTTCTGCATGCATGATGTAATCGTGCGACCTGGCTGATTGACTAACTCGTGCCATATGCACTTTCTTTGTGAAAACTTTTTCGCTGTGCATTTGCATCGCTCCAGTCCCACATTCCCCGAATCTACCATTCCCATACCTAAATGAGGCCAGAAATGAGCGGAGAAACGTTTTAAAAGGACAGTATAGCGAAGTTATTGTTACTTGTCACTTTTAGTGATTTTGTTTTTTTCTTGTGTTAATATACTAAGAAATCTATTATTTACCATATCTCGATAGCATAAGCAATTCAACTAAATGTATAAGGAAATGACGACATTTTATCCTGATACTCATAAGTTTCTCTTCAATCTTTCTTTTGTTATTGAGGATTTTTTGTTCTTGTTCCGCAATATATTAACCACGCAATCATGGATGCATTATATGATTCCACTTGTGATTTTCTTCGTGTTGCTTTGCCAGAACATATAACTGCATTTTCAGTAGTTTATCATGCAATGAATGAAGAGCCGTGGATTGCAAAGGAAACTTTAAGGCAAATATTCCATCAAGCAATTACAGCTGTCATGCCTTCATATAAAGCGGGTTCGGAAAAATACCAAAAGCTTCAAGGGTTACCTTTAAAGGTTATGTATTAAGATTTTTTTAACAGAAAAGCTTTATATATATGATGAATAGCGCAGAATATAATTCTAATAACTGGAGTGGAGTTATATCCAAAGCCATACAAGCCCTGGTTTGATCATTAATGTATTAATCCACAGACGTATGGGGGTATTTCTTTGCTTCTAGTTTAAGATGAATGTGTATATCGTGTAATTTATCGTCTATGTACTGGCCACACATGGTTGATAATTTTGCATGATAAAAATCTGACGTGTGCGCACACGATTTAATTATATTATCCGTAATAACTATATCTAACTTTTTCTCCGCGCTAGTTTGACGATGCCTTTGAAGGAATGTGTAGCCTTCGGGATTTTGAGGTTACTAGAGAGGAAGAAGAATTATCCACTGAGACGATTGAAAATAATCTGCGATTAGTAAAAGGGAACCTTAAAAAAAGCAAGGCTCGGTATGCCAAACCTTTACGAAAGATTATAGGTAGGATTAAATCTTCGGAACTTTCATGGCGCAATCCACTTGCAAGTCAGGTTCTCAGTAGTGAAATGATGGAGGTTAAGCAATTATCAGAAGAAGATTATGAGTCTTTCATGGTAAAAATAAATATATTCCAATTAAGTTCAGAGGTCAAAATCACTTTTGTATGATTACTAATATACTTAAAATAAATGAAATATATATTATCAGGAGCCGGCAAAAAATATGGAAGCATCTCTCCCTCACTCGATCGAAAGAGCATGTGATATTTTTTTAACAAACTACGATGATGGCTCTACAGAGATACCTCCACAAAAACTTTCTTATAAGAATTGGAGAGAGAGCAAAGAGGTTCTTAGAGATATTGCGGTTAGAATACTTGATACTTTGTAAGTATATTACCAGATATTAACCCATTTATAAGATTATATAATAATGATGTTTTTTATATTATAGAGGGGAGATCTGGAAAAATCCAGCTTTTAGCCCTAAATTTGCTAAAACACAAAGTGAGGGGACGTACGTGGCAGATATTATTGTTCCTATTATTCGAGCCACATTGAAAGATCTGCCAATCGGAAAATCTGCATACGTTAGCACGTGAGTAAACTTTTTTTATTTTTTCTAATATTTTTTATTTATATTTCTTTCATTACAGAGCGGAGCGTCAAAGCGTGGCTAGTAAAGACAGAAGAGGGGAGAAAGGAAAGCGTCCAGACATTATGTTCATAGCGAAGCATATGGATAGAATCTATGAACTAATGTTTGCTGAATGCTCACGCATTATTTGTAGTGGTACGAAAGAAGATGAGGATAGAGTAAAATTGTGGAGGGAGCTTAATGATGGCTTATATTGGACGAATAGGGGGTGTAAATTAGAAGAAAAAAATGAGTTCGGTATTCTCGGGTTTCAAATCGCGGGACAGAATTTCAATCTATACGTTCTTATTCGTGATCATGAAAATATAAGCCGTCTTTTTCTCTTAAGATCGGTGAAAATTCCGATACAATATACAAACGATAGGAGAGTTATATTTGAGTTTATAGAGGCTTTATTATTGATGCGGGTATGTATTCATTTATATTCCATGTTACATTTATTCTGTGAATATTTACCTACAAACTTTTTTTTTAATTTCAGAGAATATTGATCGTTGATCTGTCTTTGCTATTTAATTCTGGAACCAATGAAAGTGGTGAAAGTAGCTCAACAGTTTCTACCCCGTGAGATAACTAGAATATAAATATCATGTATTTTTTTATCGTATATATTTTATTAATAAAGATTTCGATTTGTTAATGCGATTATTGTTTCTGATTGGGCACATGATCAAGGGACTAGTCGTACATCCTTATATAGTCACACCGGAAAATTAATTATATGTAATACATCCCGAAATAGATTTAACACCCGAAATAGATTATGTAACGATCCCAGATATAGAACGACACATTATCAATAAACCAACTATCTTTCTATCACTCTCGGCTATGTATGTTCCACGAGACACGGAGTGTCATTTCTCCGAAATACTTCTATGCTGATCCCGATTGGTTAATAATTTCCGGTTTTTTAATTATGTATCAAAGATACTAGCTCCGCTATTCTGATTGGATGGACGAATAATGGGAGATCGGTGGTATATGATTGCACATGACATCGCTCCCTTGATGCTCATTGTAACGTGATATAGCGAAATAAATTAAATATATTTTTATTACGTATCATAGAAACAAAAAATGTCTTATGAAAAAGCGTTTGCCATCTTTTCTTTTGTAAAGATCCTCTTCATAACCACAACTATCACAAAATCCTCAATTAAATATATTTTTATTACGTATCATAGAAACAAAAAATGTCTTATGAATTACGCGATCAGATTTCCAAGTATATAGGATTCAGCCCTGAAGAAATCCGCCTTCCAATTACAGATGAAAATAAACAGCTTTTTCGGGAATTAATAGCAGATCAGGATGAGATGATAGATATTGTAATGAACGAGTATCGATTTTTGCAACATTATGGGCATAATTATAAAGGAGGTTCCTTAATCCATATAATGTGGGTATATATATATACTGAAAAAAGTGCTGAGAAAGTATTGATAGAGGTACCTCCATCGAAAATATTATCTAGAAAGATTTTAGCCCACATCGAAGAACGATTCAAAGACCTTCCACTCGCACCAGTTATTATAGTTGATTAGATAGATCATTACTCTGGAATGCGGACACAGTTGGTATGCTTATTTTTACGATGTTTTCAGATAGGAGAAACAACCTTTTTCTTTTTAACATGAACACGATTCTTTTGGGGTTTTATTGGGTCGAGATCATACCAGTCTTCACTATTTTTTCGGATACATTACACATATCTTGATCAAGCACGGAGTGCATTGCTCCGCAGATAAACCAACTATTTTTTTTTATCGTTGGTTATCTATGTCCCACAGGTTGATCTCTGACTCGTCGATTTAAAACACATGACATCGCTCCCCTGAGGCCCGTTATAATGTGATGTGATTATAATTATTTTCAGATTGAATTTGCTTATTCACTTAATTTATATATTTATGCGTATTAATTATATTACCATATTATAACAATCATGATGAGTAATACTAATAATAATACTGATCCAAGTGAAAAATTTTCTCAATTATACGAGGTGCTTTTATATAAGAAAAAAAATATAACAACTATTCAGAAAAAACTTGGTATTAACAGTAATATAAATCAAACGGCAGTGTCGGAGAGCAAGATAGCGAAAGAACTTGCTGATTCATATGAATTGCTGTTAGAATTGGTGAGAGATTTAATACCTATACAGGGGAAACTTGATATAGATATCAATCCCATTTTAGAAGCAGAACTTAGAAGGGATAAAGCCTCTTCAGATAAACCAATTAGATTATTTGATTGCTTTTATGCTTAGAAGATGATATAGCGACAATTCAGGAAGAACTTGATATTGTCGGTTATACTAATCAAGAAATGGCAGAAGAAGCCGATAAAAATGCGAGAGTGTACCTCCGAAAGTTTGAAGAATTTCATGATCTCTTAGAAGATGATCTAGGTGTGTTAATAAAGAAATTCGTTGATATAGGGGTAAAAAAATTTTGGTTTACTAGTGAGAGACTACCATTATTTCCAAATGTCTCTTCTCAACAATTGCATGAAATTTTCGTCAAAAAATCAGCTAGCAACAATCAGTGCTCATGTCTAGAATCAAAAGTAAAGAAGGGAAAATTATCACAGATATATATACGTCACAGCAAATAAAAATTCTTTGTTTGAAATTAGCTGGAGATTGTTGAATACCTGATTATCCGCTCTATTCTTCGACATTAAGTAAAATTATTTGTAAACCATGAATGATTAGGATTAATTCCACCAATCTCTCTGATACAATTACTGAGCGCAGAAATAAGATCTGTTTCATCTAATAATGTACCGGTAAACATTGGAATAGGTAGAGGTAGATCAGAATCGGATCATTTTTTATCTGAATAATTAGGATATTTGATTTTAATTTTAGGATTAAGTTTTTTCATTACTTCTTCGCTAATCCCTTTACACCCCTCCAAACTAAGATATTTCAAATTAGTACAGTTGTGGGATATTTTCTTGACAGCTTTATTATCAATCGAACAATAGCCAAGCTCAAGATATCTAAGTTTTGGGCACAAGCGAGTAATTTCAGTGATACATCGATTAGTGAGACATACGCATGAATTAAGACTCAGATGTAATAGTTTTGGGCAATATCTTGCGATTTTTATGATTGGTATGTTAGAAAAACCATCACTTCGATCAAGAATGAGAGTGCATATATCTGGACATGAGCGTAATATTGCACTAATCAACATATCTTTGATTTTTAAATCTTCCAATCTGAGATATACTATCTTGGAGCAATATGCTGGCTTTATCTTTTCACACATGACTTTTTTAAAGTTTATCAATTGCCAAGTAAGAGCTCGAGGCATTTTTCGACCGTACAGACCTCTCTGATAATCTTTTTCTGTAAAAAACTCAATGCGACGCCATAGAATAGGAGCATTGCAGTGATACCAAAAGCTGTTAACAAATAAAGCAGGATAGAGGAATTGATCAGTTTCTAAAAAATATAAGATCCGTTCTAACAATTCTGGTAAATCAAATATATTTAGTTGCACTATTCTCAAGTACTGTATTATTATATATTTTTAATGAAAAAAAAACCAATACTTGGATACTTAATTTTTAATAGCAAATACCATAGATATTATGTGTCAGAGACACTAGCTCCGCTATACATTACTTTGAATTTTCTCAATATTCTCCAAAGTGCTCAGCCTTTCTTCTAACTCATCTAATGGAAGGTCCAATCCACATCTTCTGGTTTCTATCTGATTCTCAGGTGACAATCCACGGATAAATTGATGTTTAAGATGATCTTCATTATGTCCAGCTAATTTACAATATTTTTCTACTGTCATGTAAAAATTCATTATCGAACTTTCCTCTTGTCTCAAATTCCCGAATTGAAAATTTTGAATATCAGTAGGCCTGGTTGAGATATATTTTAAATGCTCAACTATTTCATTCAGAGACTTTTTAAAGCCGAATTGAATTACTTCTTTTTTATTATCTCGTAATAGATCATTAAAGAAAGTTTCCTTAAGATCTTGATTATCTAAATCGATATTCAATGCTGTAACATATATCTTTATCATCTTGAAGTAATCATCCACAGACTGATTGAGTTGTGTTGGTGGAATTTTTGGTCCAATAACTAATTGTATATCAGTTCCATTAAGTAATGTAAGAGTTTTTTTGGGAAATCAATTTTTATCACATTTTCCTGAAATCATGGCTGACCTAATATCAGTACAAATTTAAGTTGCAGTTTATTAGAAACAAAAATATCAGTAACTTTTATTTGTTTCCATTTAGGGTCTTGAGATAGGATCGAAATCTCTATTTCACTAATTATTCCTAATACATCGACTTTGCTAATGAGATTATATATTTTTGCATCACAGGTGTCATCAATTTTCAAGCCTATGTCATTTACTATCCCCTCACCTATAATATTACAATTAGCACCAGAATCTAGTATAACTATTACTGGTACTTTATTGATTTCGCAAGATAAAGTTATTATTGTGGTTCTATATTATAATAATATATTCAATAATATATTTTTTACTTCGTATTAATAAATAATATTATGACATCAACAACAACTAAACCTACTATTGATTCAGATACTAACTGGTCAACTATAACTGAAGAATTTGCTAAACAAATAGGTTGGAAAAATAATAAGGATACCCTATCTCAGAATATCAATAGAGTGATATCCAGTATTGTTAAGCAAGTATCTAGTAAAAAAATTTAGATTTCTATCTGCCAATTACTGAAGATAGTGAAACCCGAGATTGGGCTAGAGATTATTGACTTAATAGTAAACCCAGATATTTCTCGGCAATATATTCCATGCAAAGCTAGAAAAAACCAATTTTTAGCACCCCTGGTACTTGCTCCGCTAATGATACCGCAACTGAGTCCTCATCCACATCTGAATCTGGGTCTGAGTTTGAATCGTCTAATGATGATAAAGATTTTACTGTGAAAGTGGTGAAAGTGAAGAAGCGTGATTAGTAATTGTATAGATCTATAATATCTGATATCTTAGTATTTTTTTTCTCTAGTCACTGGAACAATTGGTCTACCATTCATCACACTATAATGATCTGATGCTATATTAATTATCTTGTGTCTTAATGTCAATTGACAGAGACGTTTACGATGGGCATCATTCTTACCTCCATGAATTATAATAGCATGTTCAGAACCAATTTTTCTCAAATGTGATGAGCTTATTCTATAAATTGCTAGAAAATTATTAATTGGATGGACGTTTACATCACCATCTTTATCTCTTACTAAAAATGGGAATTTATTAGAAATTGCTTTCTGGATCCAAATAAGTAATTCTCTAGCCAGTAGTAGATCTTTCTCCATAGATACTAATGGTCTAGGTTCATCTTTTTTATTTTTTGCATATCCAGTGCAGTATCAAGAATATTTAGGATTATACCATTCAGTAGTATCTGCTTTATAATACTTAATACAGAGATTTCCCACATCTGCCGGTCTTATACATAACATTATCATTATATCGATTAAATTTTGCATAGAGGGAGGTTTTGTTATATCACACTTACTAAGTCTTTCCTGAACATTTTCCAGATAAAAGAATTCTTGATAATCGAACTCCTCGTCTTCACGGAGTTCCTGATTTATTACTTGTTTTTTATTTGATTTTTGAGTAATATCGGATATATATATTGCTTCTAATGTAAGATAATCAGCATCGAGATTGCGTAATTCTTTTCAGAGCAATTTAAGATGCGATGATTGGGCTATTATGGTAAGAACTGTTTTAGCTAAGTTATATACTAGCATATTTATCTCTTCGGATTCAAGATTATCTTCATTCTTCTTAATATATTGAGCGAGCTTTTTAATCGGGTCTCACCCTGTAACACGTCTTCCAGAAGCCTGGATAGAAATTAAAGCATATGTTTAATCTTTGCTAAATCCTAACTTCTGGATTATATTTCAAGCGTGATCACAGGCTTTATAATTTTTAATCTCTTTACATATTTTTTCAGCATAATTACTAAGCTCAGCTATACTCATCTGAGGAGTTAAGTTATACTGATTCACGAAATTTGTAGCTACTTTCGACATTGTTGTTATGATATAATTATGTGGACTATAACTATGAAATATATTTTTTCAAATCGAAATTAATTATCCATTGATAGCTATACCCAAAAATTGAATGGGTCGTGGTTATTGTAATTCTATCAGAAAATGGACGCGAATAAGACACGGAATAGATTGAAGATTTTAGAATCTATAGCTTTACGTAATAAAATTACTAAAAATATTAATGGGATCAAAGAGGATATAACATTACTTAAAGAGATCCTGGAAAAAATAATCAATATATACGTATGCCAGGTATATGATTAGACTTTGTGCATAGAATCGGGGAAATCAGATATATAATTCTTAAATATGGTAATTTGTGCACATAATTCATCCTGCTTTTTTCTGTCATAATTCTCTTTACTTTTATATTTTCCCATGTGTTTATTGTATGCATTATATTTAGATCTATTTGGCTCACCACAATCCTACCTTCTCGCATATACTTGAAGCCAGAAAAAAACACATAACTCCATTCTATTTCGGAACGTAGATGCCAAGAAAAATTCCCTATAACAATATATTAAGGTATTTCACTTAATTTTATAGTACTTTATGCCTTATATAGAGAATATCTATTCTTATAATTATATTTTGCGAGTAATTCAGCTTGTCTCTTTTTATGATAATTTGATTTGTTGCGATATTTTCCAGCATGTTTAACACACATACCGTATGTAGAGGCAGTTGGTGTGCCACATTCTTCACAAGGAACCCATACTTGCATTTTCCAATGAAGAGCACAACCCTCTTGTCGATAACAACCTTTTCCACAAATTCGTCCATCAATATAAATATGTGGGCAAGAATAGAATGCCATTACTAATAACAATAATTTTCAAATTTTGCATATATGAAATAATTATTTTTCGAATTAAACTTTTTATGTCGCTTTTATTATAAGTTGATAAACCAACGCATTATATTCTTTTTGTAAGATCAAACAATACACATATACAAACAACATATATACAAATCAATAAAATGAGTTTGTCTAGTAAAGCAAAAAAACGTCTTCATGAATCGTTACAGCAACAGTGCTTAAATCAAAAGTCAGCTAAATATAATGAAGCAAAAAGACTTTTTATGGGTTTAACGGATCTTGACTATAAACTCGGCCATAAAGAACATACATTTTATAAATATTGGCTTGCATCCAGGCCTGAAGGGATGACCCTAAAGGGTCATGGTTATACTGATAAAAATGATACTGCGCTTTTATTCATTCTCAATATATAATTCGGATGGCAGGAAAAGGTTATACAGTGATTGATCATCCTAGTGAAGTTTATAGAATACCTGATACTCACGAATGTATTGATGGTAACCAGCCTCTTCATTTGATTATTGATATTGATGCAAGGCAAAAGCCTGATCCTACAAATCCTAAAGTGCCTTCCTTAGATGATAAAAAAATTATACGAGAAGATTTGTTATCTCAAATTTTAGTTGCTTGCGCAGATACATTAAGTCTTATTCCTGATTGTATGTCTTTCTTAAATTCTTTTGCTTTA